AACCCTCCCCCCCACCCGCAGGAATTCCACACGCGGACGCAGCTAGCCAATGACAGCAGCGGGTGACGACGGACCAATGGAAGCGCATTGGACTTTATTCAATTTTAAATTACATTTTCCAACGCACATTATTTTCACATTCAAAAAACTTACTATTTTAACTCACATCACACGTCACGAAAGTCTACCGTTTTCTAAAGGAAAAATAAAATAAAGTATGTTCAGTTTGTTTAGTCTATAATGGCAAACCATCTTTGTAAAAACAATCTACCTTTGTAAATATAGTTCAGTGTACTCCACTGTTTACAATTTAATTTTATATATTAAGCCACGTTTTTGCTCTTATATTAAAATAATACATTTAGTCACGTTTTTGATTTGGCGCTATATAAATAAACTGAATTGAATTGAATTAATGCTTTTACAACAATATCATTTCTTTTTTCAGATTCTACATGGCGAGCTCAGTAATTCGGATCTTTAACCCACATGCACCTGCATACCGCCATCAGGCTGTACTGACGGCTAGCAAAGAGGCCGGCCAGTATTGGGAAAAGAAGCTCAGGTTCTCAAACCCAGCCCCAGAGCTACTCATCCTGAAACCGCGTTGGTCCATGCAGCAACGCTCCTTTTTTTCATTCAACCTTTATTTAGACAGGTAAATCCCATTGAGCCTCGAGGACTCATTTACAAGAGAGACCTGATTTCAACAAAGAATGATGACAACAACGGACAACAGCGACAATAAACAGATTTCTGGCTGATTTCCTCAGACTTAGAAGACAAAGTGATAGACACTTCTATAGAACCAACAATACTGACAGATCACAAAGCTATCACAATCAAAATAGATGCAAATACTAACAGACAAAGTCAGAATACAGATTACTGGAAATTAAATAGCACTTTATTAAATAATGAAGAATTTAAAAATGAAGTAATTAGACTAATTGATAAATACTGGATCCAAGCAACTTTAACTACAAAGTAATTATTTTGGGCAAAAACTGGGAATTATTTAAATTTGAAATTAGGAATATGGCGATTAGAATAGGAAAAAAAACTTGTCCAAAAGACAAAAGAAAAAGAATCCCAAATAATAAATGCAATTTTGAGACTATCAGAGAAAAATGATCTATCTGAAGAGGACTCAAATGAACTTTCAACACTGCAGCTAGAACTTGATAAACTCTATGAGGACAAAGCCAGAGGAGCATTTGTGAGGTCCAGAAGGAAGTGGTTAAAACAAGGAGAAAAGTGCTCCAAATATTTTTTTTCAACCTAGAGAAGAGAAACTTTGAACAATCATTTATTGGTAAGCTTAAAATTAACAATGTAATTTGTGAAAACGAATACGTCATTTCAAACTACGTCTCAAACTTTTATCAAGATTTATACTCGGTAAATCTAGAAGATGAGGCAAGAATGGACACATTTCTAAGAGAACATGAAATGGATATCAACAACATTGATGATGACTTTAAGAGAACTTGTGATAGAAAAATTAATGTAAAAGAAGTTCATGATTCTATTTGTTCGCTTAAAGATAATAAATCTCCTGGCAATGACGGCATAAGTAATGAATTCTATAAACAATTTGCAAAAGAACTGGCCCCGTTTTTAAAAAAACATGTTTATAGAGTCAATACTGAGAGGTGAACTACCCCCCAACTCTCCAGCAGGGGTTGATTAAACTCATCCCCAAACACAAAAAAAGAGAAATTGAGTATTGAACATTGGAGACCAGTTAGTCTTCTAAATAATGACGCTAAAATATTTGCAATCAACTTTGCCAAACGACTGAAATTAGGTTTAAACGAGATTATTGGTGAAGAGCCGGGGCGCACTGAGAGGGGGCGTCAACGCTTTTGTGAATGAGACGTCATTTCAGGGAAGGCTGCTGCTGCCGTGGGAAAAAAGTTTACTCTTGTTGCGCGGTGAGTGGACAGAAGTAGCAGAAAATAAGACGGGCTCTAACTGAAAGGTCCTTCTGTAGCTTCTTGGGCATGGATGGTGAAAGGCGGAGCCAGGTGGTCCTCTGGACCATGGTCAACCAGGCAGCGATGTGGGATACGCAAACCGCAGAGGTGGCACACAGGTTGAGGATGGCATCGGCGGCTTTGCAGAGGGAGCCCTTTGTCTCCTCCGGCAGGTCTGCTCCCTCCAGCCTCTTCAAGATGCTCTCCAGGTGGGAAGAAGCAGCGGTGCTGCTGCTAGCATCACCTTTGCCGGAGGAATCATCCGATTCACTGCGTGGCTCTGCGTCGAAAAAGGCGATGGCGTTGTCCAGCAAGTAGTGCCCCGCCATGGGGAAAACCTCCTCGGAGTTAGCCTTGAAAAAGGCTGCTTGTCTTTGCTTCTCTTCGGAAGAGAGGAGCTCACAGGGACGGCAGAAGGTGGCGAGGTCGGCGTGGTGGGGACCCAGGCATCCTTCGCAGATGTCGTACTGGTCATAGCCCATAATGTAGCTGGTCTGGCAGGACGGGCACAGGTGGATGGTGCTGGTATTGGTGCTGGACATCTTATATTCTTATTCGCTCTTTAGACAGTGCTTACTGGCTGAAGTAAAAATGGGAGCCGATTGTCCAGTCTCACCGTAATTTATACAGACCTGGGGTGGGGCCCACACAGCCAATGGGCGTGGACTAAAGTTTTCAGTGCTGTGTTGCGTGTGAAGGGATAAACCCACTAGCGATAGCCTTAAAGGGTTAAGCCTGTACGAAATAGAACGGCCTGATTTCATGCACAACAGGAAGGGACAGGAAGTAAAAACACTGTCAGAATCTGAATCAGATGATGATTAGGGATATAGAAGCCACAAAGTAAAAAGATTTTGTGAAGGTCAGGGTTGTGCAGCCTGTTAAAGTTTGTTAGTAATTACTTAAAAATAACATATTGCACTACACAACTGTTAATGTGTTCATGATGTGCTATGTTGTCAGTCTAAGTACATATGTATGGTAAACTTCTTTACTTGGCTTTTCTGACAGTTAAGAATAAATCATATGATTTATATAATTTGATTGTACTGGTGGGGTTTGTAACCAAAGGAAGTGTTACACACAAACACACACAAAAAAAGAAAAATAGTGGCTGGTAAAAAACAAGTTAATTTCCAGCCCTGATTGTAAGTAAGGAACTCGTGGTGTCTAAACATGATGAATTTACTGCATGTTAAGAAAGATACCACACCGCTAAGAACATTATCATTTAATTAAACATGTTTAAATGTGTATGTTACAAATACACTCGTTGAAATTAGTTAATTAGTTATTTACATTTCTCACAGTTCCAGTTTACAGTGACAGTCTGACGCAGACACTCGCTGCCTCACGCATCTGCTAACTCAGCTGTCTCAAGATTTTTTTACTCGATCACCAACACTGTAACCGACAATACGAACAGAAACAAAGAGCTAAAAGACTAACCAGTTTGTTTAAACTTGTACAAGTTTACAAGACAGACAGCTGTTTCACTTTCCCCCTCATACCTGTCAATGTTCTTCTGTCTATTCCCTTATACTGAACTTCAGAAAAATGACTTGAACAAAAAATAAAAATAATTCAAACTGGCAACAAAAAGTAACACTGTCTTTAAACATGTATATCAAATGTTAAAACATATATTGTGAAAATATCAGTTTTACACAAGTATGTACAAAATGATTGGTAATGTAAGTGAAATGTGTAACATGTGAATATCCGTTTTTAATGACTGGAGGAGGGACAACTCTACCAACATCTTTTCTCCCATAATGCACCCAGAAGACTTGTGTCTGTGCACACAGTGCGAGTGTGCCATGAAATGAAAGCTTGTTTGCTGAACAAATGACTGCGGCGAGAAGCTGTTCCTAACAAGCACACTTTAAGTACCTTTCCCTGGTAGGAGGGTCTTTCCCCCTCTTATCACACTGTGGATAAGTTCTCCAGAGACTGATGGCTGGAGCCAGCAGAAACTGGATCCTCCAGTTTGTCTGCAGCCAGTCGGCTCAAAGTCTCTGGGCTGAACAGACGTCTGGTTGAAGACACACATCCCAGGCTGCAGCTGACACTGGAGAACTTTAAAAGTCTCATTATACTGTAACTTAAACACTACAGATGGAACAGAAAGCAGCTCCATCCCTGTTGAACAGCTGCTAACGCTGCAGAGGATTCATCTAAATTTAAAGTGCCTTGAAGGGTGTTGCCCTGCAGGAAAGTTTTGCTTCTGTACAAATCCTAGTTTACTTAAATATCTGCAAAATTAGCTCCAATCAGCTACAATTCTTTATCGTTGCACTGTTCAAATGTGGCTGCAGGTTTATGATGACAATAAAAGTTTATTTGTGGGGTTCCAAGCCTTGAAAAGGTGGCCAGTAGATCTTCTTGTGGAAATGAATACTTAAATCCATGATTACGGTAGTTATTTCCTGTCAGTAAAATCCACTCTGTGATGAAGTTCCACTGGTCCAGACGTACATCGTCGTCAGTCTGTTAGTTTGTGTACATAGTTGACAGGAAAGGTCCCACTTCTCAATGGGTCCCCATCAATGTGTCCAACCTGCGTGGATAAGGAGCAATGCAACGTTTATAATCCTAACACACAAAAAACCTCCATGGGAATATAATAAAATAATTCTCTGTTCTCAGAAATGATTGCGATAAACAATGATATTGTTTGAAATTTGACATTAGCATTTATTGTCAAATTTAAGAAGAAATGTAGGTTAATTTGTGTAGTACCTTTTTTGACCATTAGGTGGCAGTATAACTGTTTGAACCGAAGGATTTATAATAGTGAGGGAGCGAGCAGCGTGTCTCTTTAAGAAAAATGGAAGGGGAGGCCCCTTGATGTGACATGGGCTGTCTCCTAGGGGTTGAACGACTAAATAATTTTAAAACTCAACATTAACATAATAAAACTTGAGTGGAATTCGAGTAGTTGATGATGTCATAGGATCTCAAGATGAAAAAATTAATAAAATATAAAACCGCAAAAAAACATAATTTATTATTTACCAAAAAAAAAAAAAGACCAACAAAACATTGGGAGCATATATTATGCTCCTACCATTTATCATACTGGAAATAAGTCAAAGGAAAACAAAAACTATTAGTTATTATTATTAAACTGCAAAAGTGAAAGAAATAACGTGCAGCACGTCAAAAACGAAACTAAAAACAGTGGGGCAATCGACCACCCAGCACCACCTCCAGCTGTGGTGCGCATTAGGTTTAGTTTTAGAGATTGACATGTTTATAGTTTTTTTATTTATAGTTTTAGAGTTGAATATTTTTTGCTTTTTGTTTGTGAAACAAGGTCAGAGGAAGCTGGTTCTGGTTTGTCATTGGACTCGGTGTTACACCATATTTTGTGACCTGCAACAGTGCATGCAACACC